TGCAATGGACTATCTATTGATTGGATGGATTGTATATCTATGTACTGTAAAGCGCTTTAGAGTGGCTTATTCTAGCTAGATAGGGCGCTATAACAAATGTTGTTTATTAGTATTTATTGTTAATTATGTTCATCCAAATTTCTGCAGTCAATAGGCCGTGTTAAGGTAAGGTATTGGATAACTTTGATGATTAATCTTTTGACCGTCGGTTGGGTGAGTTTTTGCTGGTATTCACCGAGAGGACCGGACTCCCCTCAAGAGATATTCTATGCAGACCTAAAGTACGGGTTAAAGAAATATATGACGGAAAGGGTTGACTTGGATATAGACGGACACGAGTTCTTATCATCGTCCAACATGTACGAAGTCGTATTATGGGATTTGAAAAAGAAGGGATATAGGAAAATGTATCACCATCCCCCCAATATCTGACGAGGATTTTAAATCTCGATATTCCACATCTCTGTGTGGCCTACAACAAAATGTTTGGTTTGAAATTAAGTACTATCTGTGCAGAAGAGGAAGGAAGAGAAAGTATGTGTAGCCCTTTGACCTGGAACCGGCACCGGCGTATGTGTCAGTCGAACAGTCTACAAACGCGAGATTTGCAAATGTTCACTCTACTGCATGTAGTAATTCACACGCTGTCAGAGTTGAGTGCTATGAATTGTATACTTAATTAACTTAATAAATGTTTGTTATTCAATAATGTTGTCTTTTCACTTCATCTCCTAGTATATCGGGTAGTCGTGCCTTATCATACGTGCTTATTTTTAATCGTAATAATAAAACAATTGATGCCCTCATCATGGGATGACACGACGATTTGGCAAACCTTGTGTCGTTATGTCACCCTCTGGTGACATATCGACTCCCAGGTGGTCAAATCGTCATGTGACCCCATAAGGAGTGCATCAATTGTATAGTATCACACATAGTTTGTTAATGATTTGTTTTACAAAAAAAAAAACCACTTGTTGTAAGTTTAAATCATGTTTTATTCCTGTCAATTAACATGTACAATTACAAAAAAACATCTAATTCTAATGATTTAGAAACAAGTACTTTTTAACTTATAGATAGTCCTTCTCATCTACTTGTTGTTGCTCAATTAGCTCTCGTTATGCGTATTCATTTGACTATTTGACACTTCTTATGATGAGTGTCCCACCTCTATGTAAAAACTATGCGAAAAAGTAGCTCCTTCATAATTCTAAATCGCGAAATTATAATTATAGAACTTTGACTCTGTAAGCTTGGGTCAGGGAGTCATCAACAAAGGAATGATCATGTGCTAGACCCATATTGGGAGCAGCAGAGTCCGTGTGTGTGTTCTAAAACCAGAGAAGCAGTATTCGTGCAGGACTAGTGCAGTGTATGCGAGTTAAATTGTACCCGCCAGTGTATGACGTAAAACCTGAGGAGCAGTATTCGTGCAGGACTATGGTAACGGCCAACTTCCGGATGGACGGGAGAAATGTGGGAGCCACACACAGTGATGAATTGTAGATATTGTGTGTAGAAAGACAATAGGTTCCAGAGATAATGGTGTTTATGCACATAATAAAATAATTGTAAATAATGAGTGTGAGCGTGGAAGGGTGTTTAGTATGTTGTAAGTATATATTCTTATGAATTTGTATATATGTTTGGGCGAATAAATATTTTAATTTGGTTTTATGTCGCTTTGTCATCTGTTTGCAAATAATAAGGCTAAGCCTTTACCCACAATTCCTGACAGGTACTAGTTTTATTTACTATACGAAAGTATAGTATAGTAAATATTTAATTATATTTCAGTTAATTTTAAACATTTATTTTGTCAATGTTATTTTTATTGTATTGAAAACTTCATTACTTTAAAAAAATCTGGAACTACACTGCACTGCGCGAAACGACAATACTATGGTTTAGACATTGATAGAGTGAGCTGATAATAAATTATGAATGTTATGTGATGAATAGAATCTTACATTCGTGTCCGTGTCATTTTGCAGTTATTTAACTCGTTCAATTGTTTAATATGACATTCGCCTAAAGGTTCGTGTCATATCCAATTATTTAACTTGTCTAATAAATTCAATATGACATGGACACGTATGCAAGATCCTTTCTTTATTTGTACTCTACAAAACGCGACACGAAAAGTTGTACAACAAAAACCGTCTATTGAGATATAGACATGTCATCGATTTTTCATTGGTTATCTTTTAATATTTGTGTACGACATATAGTATTTAAATAAATTATTTTTAAAAATCACACTTTTGGTTTTCAATATTGAACAGTTGCCCAGCTTAGGAAGGTCATTTGTTCTGTCCCAATGCCAGGACATACCAAAGTCCTTAAAAATGGCAGTTTGTATTCCCTGCTTAGCTTTCAGCATTAAAGGTTAATGGCAACAACTGATTTACCCGTTGTCGGTATGAAGTGACCGATGACATGCATATGCACGTGTCTGACATGCCCTTACGTTAACCAATTCAGTATAACTTTATTGTAATGACAGAACTGATCGACTAGCCGTGTGCCTAGCGTGATAAAAAAAAAAGATCAGAACGATTCGTGGTGTTAAGGTGTGATAACATGTTTTCTCCTACCTCAGGACACACCAAGGTTTTTCAGTTTGTTTGCTACAAATATCCAAAATGTCCTCACACAACCTATTCCGCTGTTCTAGTTCTAGATCTCTCGTATTTTGGTTGTTCTCGTCCTTTATGTTTTTCCGTCAGAAATGCATTCTTTCCTCCCTATTCTTGCACGTTTATAAACATATTTGACTTCTTAAATCAAATAACTTCAGACTTTAAGATTGAATTTCTCATGTCGATATTTGTTGTGACTGATAACAAATTTCTTAACCATCACATTAGTGTTTTGAATGACATCAAACAGAACGTGCTAATTAGTATAATTATTTGCTTGCAGACAAAGAACAAAATGCCGAGAAGTTACGTCAATAATGCCTACAATCGACGTCTGGGGAGAGTTGGCATGCCCCTCGGGAGCATGCCTGTATCTTCTCCTAAAACCTACGTAGGTAATTCTTACAACCAGAGCGTTGGAAGAGAGGGATTAAAGCATGGAACAGCGCTGATATCTAAGAGTTCATCACAGTCCCCAAGTGTGAAAGTTGACGTCGATAACGTGTTTAACCGGGCTCTCGGACGTGTCGGCATGCCGCTCGGCTCTATGACAGTGTCATCAGAAAAGTCGAGTACTAAAACAGGATCACCTGTTAAGCGGAAGGAAAGCTACATCACAATAAACATCAGAGTCCTAGTAAAGGGATATTGCGAACGACCGATATGTATCTCGGAATACCCTTTGTTAAACCGAAACCTTTCAAGGTGATACCAAAAGTATTTTTCACTTTATCATATTATTTATCTATTCAGAATCGCATGGCAATAACAAAGATAGTCCATGCTCTCACTCATAACATATCACCTTTCTTTACATTGATGTCAATCCTTAATAACATATACTAGTAAAGTCATCGAAACAATCCATTGTTACCTTTGTTGACGTTCTTCATGATGCAATTAATCATTATCTGACGGTGTAGTTTATCAATTCCATTCATTATTACTTCCGTTAATGTAGCTATTGATACAATCTATTACTTCTTACAATTAAGTAATGAATTCAGTGCAGTATTATTCAGAGATGTATTTTGTAATACTATTCATTATTGGAAAACCATGAAATTCAATACGAACGATTGATGTAGCTGAGTTATGTTTTCCGAGATTGGCTATTTAATGTTGCATTGTCTTAATCGTGTTTTTTGACATTTCATGACCGAATTGTTTCGTTTCATTCTCGGTTTTATTTAACACATTAGAATCCTCTCTTATGAAATGTTCGGGGGAATAATATCCGTTTTCAACTGTCTTCGCTATTATTTAAAGAATAACGATATATGTGTGTGTGTAAAATTGATGAATACTTAAAGACGTCGAAGACAATGTTGGAAAATAGTTTAGGACGTCAGCTTCGGCTGATTATTTTTCCTATCTTTTCAAATCTTCGGTTATATAGTCCACCATTAATACATACTCATATAATAATTATATTTATTTTACCATGTACGTTAAAATGAAAATGAAATTTCGTGTCTAATACAGTGTCCATACGTCTAAGTTATACAAGATGACCTATATAATTCCATTATACAAAGTATTTTGTTCTTTTGCAAGCAAACATTAGTTGCATCACGCTTATGTCTTCATTTCACAGTGCTTTTTCATAATTTCTGACGTTGTGGGCAGTTGTCCCATTCTGCCTGTTTAACATTTATGTATTCGGATAGGATTATACATATTTCGTTATTTGTTGAATATCGTAAATTTGACAGACTTGTGAAATCTTTTCGCAATCGATTTCGTAGTAGGGTCGGTGGATTATTCTGAGTGTGAGCTCGACAGTAACATCTGGATCTTAAAATATATTTTGTCGTTATCAATTTTCTAGAAATACCTTCTAATGCATGTCACAAAATTTGACAGACTTGTGAAATCTTTTCGTAATCGATTTCGTAGTAATTTTCTAGATATACCTTTTATGTAATGCATGTCACTCGACTTAGGAATTATATCAGTCCCAAGGCTCGTTGATTAATATTTGGAATAGAGGGAGTTTTTGATGAGCATTGCACGCTCATGGTTTGCTATAAAATAATGCAAGCACACGCTGTTATTATCGCCCAGTAATACATTGTACATGGTTATTAACCAATGAAAAATGTCTTTACATCATATACATGCTATTGATTCGGATACTCCCCTTTTAATTGTCTATATTGTGTTCATTCTCCTATTTGATGTTTCCTCATTTATAAGTCTACAAAAAGATTTTTAGATAATCTTTTAAATAATATATTTTTAGGTTTAACCATAATTCCAAATATCTTTAGTAAGTTTGTGTACATTTTTAATGAGTCATATATATAATGATAATTACACCTTTTAGTTCTGTTTTTTCTATTTGTCTTTGAGGAAGAAGATATGGAGCTAGGAAACCTACAAGAAGATTATCTGTACGCCGAGGAAGCTTGTGAACAGGCAGCGGACCTCATCAACCGTATGGAGCAGGTCCGGTTATGACAACAAGAATCACAAAAGTGCAAAGAACCATTGACGTCATTTGATCTTCTGAAAGGTTATCGCGGAGAAAGAATCGAATTTGATGAGCTGGATATGAGAAAAAAGGTTGGCCATGGAGGATTCGGATATATCTATTGCGCTAAATGGAAAGGTACTGTAGTGGGTGTAAAGAAACTGCAGGTCCAGAGAGTATCGAAGAAACGATTACAAGAGTTTACTTCGGAAGTGCAAGTCTTTTGTTCACTCAACCATCCTAATATCGTCAAGTTCATTGGCGCCAGTTGTGTGACCCCGAACATCGCTATCGTCATGGAGTTCATGGAATACTGTCTGTTTCAAATATTTCACATGCCTGTTTTTGAAGATTCCTCTCTTACGGAAGATGACAAGCTCAGCATCATTGTTCAGATATCACGTGGACTAGCATACTTGCACAATAAAAGTATCGCCCATTGTGACACCAAATCCCGCAACGTCCTGGTGGATTCAAGAGAAGGTGGTTACTTAGCAAAGATTACTGACTTCGGACTTAGTATGATGAAATGTGATTTTGATACGTCTGATCAGGTAAGAGTCGGGCAACGTCTGAATACAAAAGATACTTCTGATATTGGCTGTCTGTTTTCCCTGTGGAACGGGAAGGTCTCGTCTCATCTTAAATCATACACTAAAAAGATACATGATTAAGTGTCAGAGGCTTTGAGAGACCGTACAAGGCCTGCTCGACTAACGCTACTAGAACACCTGCAGAGCCGACAGGATAGGCAGGTGCTTTAAACTGTTGGAATCAATATAACAACGGCAGGCCACCCGAATCGCGTATGCCCATTGTGGTAAATGCTTCCGGTAGCCTCGTTTTCGCAACGATTATCTATGACGTTTTGGATTCAGATATATTCAACAAAATTGTTCTCAATAAATTAGAAGCACAAAGAGGTGTTTATTATAATTAGAAGCAAAATTTAGGAAAGACACTTTATAGTTCTATCTATTTGATAAATTAGTGCGCATCAAGTCTTACTTAAAAGTGAAAAAGCGCACGATTCTGCAAGATGAATAAGAACACTGTTTTAACTAGAATGTTCAATGGACTGAATTGGGTTTGGCAAATCAGTGAATGAGATGTACTAATAGTTCCATTTTTTCAATTCCATCAATTGTACCGGGATACTGGCAACACTGGTTGAATTATTTCTCTTGTGGGTTACCTTTCCTTGTTAATGTCGTGAAGTATAATTCTCATTCATCTATATTACACATGTCATTGTTGATTTTTTGTGTCTCTTTTTTAATGGTTGATTCACCTTTCTTTGAAATTGTCATAAGTCCATATTTTTACTTTCAACAGGTGCGGAACATCGGAACCCCTCGTTATTCTGCCCCTGAAGTACTGCGCGGGGAACTGTTCGACCGCAAGGCTATGATGAGAGCCGATGTTTACTCTCTTTGTCTTGTGGTATTCGAGATCATCTCGGAAGATGAACCATTTGATTTCCTAAATACTAAACAAATGGAACGATGTGTTGGACACGGGGATAAAACTATATAATTATTTGTTAATTCACTATCAATTAAGATAATAAGTCAACGCCTAAGTACACATGCATATACAATATATGCTGTTAAATGACGTGAAAGTAAGCATGATAACTTTATTGGCCAAACTGCTTAAATACAGTAAATATTGATGTTCGTGAACCGAAGAATTCGCTTGCCAGTTTTAGTGGGGGCGTACGCCTTTCTGGCGGCGTACCGAGGAGGGGGGTACGCACAAACGCCCCCGTCTTAATCTGCGCCTGATAATGCAATTAAGTTCATGTGAACGATATCGAAAGTAAAAGTACACATGTAAATGTATTACGGTATAGGATTCTCATGAACTGTGACACACCGGGTGGTTGGGAAAAAAAATATGCAGGCACAGTGAAATAGATTCGTTCCCACTATAAAGCATATTTCGATTACACACGTATCATTATACTTGGAATAATTGTTATCTTTAAATCTTCAAATAATTGAAATCATTAACACACAGTTAAATGTTCACCTGACAGGTGAATACAAAGATAACACAGGTGTAAGTGTGTACGGTACAGTCAATATATTCACTTACTGTCTTCTGTTTTGTACGAGACCGCAGACCAGGACGACTCTAACGAAATCTAGGTCACAAGGTACAGGTGCATTTACGAAAGTAGACAGGAACGACGGAGCGAGCAGGTATATTGACTTATGTTGATATTATGATATATATTATTTTGTTTATTCCCATGCCAGTCTAACGAACTGTCAATTGTTTTGTGTGGCAGTAATCCAAATTTCATGTTGGCTACGTGCACATTGAACGCCATTTTGATGCAAAGATTTCTTCCCGGCAAATGTCAGTATAGGACATTTGTAATCAGTTCATATTTTCTTTAAAATATCGACAGATTGAGAGAGTTTGGTTGTCATGCATTACGTTATACATGTAGTAGTATAATCATTGGTGAACCTGAATTTTCTACACTGACATGTGCACAGAAAACTACATATGATGTACCACAAACAGGCAGTTTGGTCATGCTGTGATACGACGTAATCACAGGATGTGTCAATTGACCGAGCGATATTACATTGTCATTTCATATTCCGAGAGCCGATACAGTAGTAGCTATATTGACCCATATACCTTTTTTCAATAGTAAATATTTAAGAAGCCCGATTTTTCTCTGGCCCGACACCAGACTTTGACATTTTGACAGATATAAGTCTGGTCTATCAGGGCTAGAGAAAACTTTGGCTATAACAAATATTATAGGCTAGGTTATCAGGAGTGTTTACTTTATTCATAGCATGTTCCAACATGCATTGGCCACTTTATCTGATTTGATCTTGGCTCTCGGGTACAGAATACCACATACATTGAATGTACCACAGACAGGCTACATTGATCAGTTTTAGCGCGAACTCAGCATGCTGTAATACGAAGCAATCACAGGTTATGTCATTTGACCGAACGAAAATTACATGGTCCTTTCCTAACCCGAGAGCCGATACAACAGTAGCTATATTGACCCATAAACCTTTTCAATAGCATATATTTAATTAGCCCGAGTTTCCTCTGGCCCTGACACCAGACTTTGACATTTTGACAGATAGATGTCTGATCTATCAGGGCTAGAGGAAACATGCACTAACATTTGATATAGGCTAGGTTATCAAGAGTTTTCACTTTATTCATCGCATGTTCCACCATGCACTGGCCACTTTATCTGATTTGATTCTGGCTGTCTGGTAAGAATCTTTACCACTTTACTTTCTCTTTCGTTTTATACGGCACTTCTTAGTATATATTAAATGGACATCACGTGAAGAGCCCTATTTTTTAAGGAATGTATGTATTGTATGCACTTCTACTTATGTTTGTTTGTTTGTTTGTTTGATTTTGTTTAACGTCCTATTAACAGCTAAGGTCATTTAAGGACGGCCTCCCCTGTGTGCAAGATGCATGCGTGTAGTGTATGTATGTGTATTTTGGGAGGCTGCGATATGTTCGTGTTTGTCTTCTTGTAATAGCGCGGAACTGATGCCGACTTTATAGTGCTACCTCACTGAAACATACTGCCGAAGACACCCAGCAGGACGCCCCACCCGGTCACATTATACTGACAACGGGCGAACCAGTCGTCCCACTCCTAATTTGCTGAGCGTTAAGCAGGAGTAGAAACTGCCATTTTTAAAGACTTTGGTATGTCTCGGCCAGGGGACAGAACCCAAAGCCTTCCTCACAGGGGCGAACGCTCAACAAATGGCCAAAAGTGAGGCATTGTCAAGGGAGACATTAGGAAAAAGAAAGTTATTTAGAAAGGAGAGAAGAGATAAGGTCCCAAATTTAGTCGCCTCTTACGATCATGCAATTGGGGGCAGCAGGTTCAATTCTTACGCCCTACCTGCAGGGCAGCTTCTACTTATGTTACCTCGCTATCCCCATATTCATAGTCCGTTCCAAATGTCCAGTTTGACCACTTGAGTTGTTAGGGAAAGCCCTGCTAAAAATAGCGCCGATAACAGCACCTGACTAGGCAGTGGTCTGAGCGAGATGAAACGGTTTCCAATGGGGCCCCCGGAGAGGGGCCGTCAGGCAACTGCAACTTCTTACCGCACTATGAATCCAAGTAATATGATTTCTAAGTCCGTATTCAAACTTATTGAACAGTAATTATTCATCATCAGAAGTTAATTGCACACTTGCCAATATTCAGAATTTCAATTTATTTAGTTTTAAACATATTTGTTGCCAATAAAATTGAACAAGGGATGGGGCACAAGTTTTTACAATTTATCACAGTCTTCTCCCGTCATACCTTTACAATTAAATGTTAAAAATGATGATAGGTATCACCATAAAGTATATATAAATAAATATATATTAAATGTATTACCGGAATGTGACCTGTACAGATGGTACGGGGCTAAACACCTTCCCTCAACCATGGGACAAACCTTTCTGTAAAAAGGAATATTCACGAGACGAATATCCCTTTTCAAATGTTTTCATAAAGTGCATATATGCAATGACAAACTACACGCGTATAAAAAAGAGAAATGTTTGTAAAAATATTATTGCATTGAACAACTCGATGTCTTTCGCCATTTTCTTTTTCTAGACCATGCATTTACATTTATGTATACTCTCTTTCCCACTTTCATTGTCTCCATACGCTAACACTTGGTAAGTCATATTAGCCATCACACACAATGAACTGTATGGCAATACCACTACGTGTACATGTAGAATATGTGTCAGATATGGAACGTGTTGAGATACTTGATAATTATATTTTTTTCAATACTTTACATAGATTAAAGCATTCTTGTAAATGGACTCTTTTTTATGTTGAGACAACTTTTCTTTAATCTTTTCTTTTTTGTCCGAAACAGAAGCCGTAGTTATCGGCAACACGCGTCATTTTTACAACGTAAACAAATGTTTTCCCCCTGTTTTCAATACGTATTCCGATTCTATCTGAAGTCGAAAATTAATTCTTTATAGAGTAAAGGTTGTTATATGATCATACATTCTAAGTCAACATCATATGAAAAATTACGATTTAAAAAAAAAAATGTTATGCGATCCTATTTACTAGAAGTAGGTTCTCCTTCCTCAGTTATTCGTCCTGGTCCGTCATTTTGACATTTTTAATCTAAAATGACTGGCCGTGTGAAGTAAGCGAAAGAAAGGTGTTGTACCGTGTCAGCTACGAAGCGAAAAGTTGTTAAATGGTCAAAAGATAGCACAAGGAGTACGTTACCGAATCATTATTGCAGGTGGGAAATATTCAAGCAGAAAATAACTGCCCTAGCAATTAGGACAGTGCATGTTTTCTTCCTGATAGCCGGTTACGCTGAAATGGAATCGACAGAAATGCTAGCGCTGTTTATGTTATGAATAAATATCTAAAACTATTAAAGTCGCTATTATCTTTGTTTGAGTTTGAACACAGATGAACTTATTATGATTTTTTTTATTCAAAGTACTGCCATTTCCATTCTTGAACGACTTATGAAATGTTGTATACATCATCAATACCAAAGATAAACTCTGACGTTGTGCACCATTGATCAATATTTTGATCAAGCTATTTTTATGGGAGTTATGTCCCTTCTCCGATATCCTATACATTTGTCTTAAGGATCCCCGACCGTCCACCTAAAAATGTTTTGAGGCATTGGATTTTTTTTCTACGGCTTCGCTATAGCATAACCAAATTATTTCTGAACAATCATCCATACCTTGGGGTAGTTTCTTTAGATGTTTTGGGATATTATGAAATTTCGAATATTTTTTCGTTTTTTTTTTAAATGGAACAAAATGAAACAAAATACATTTTAATTGAGGCAACAATGTTTTTTTTAGAAATATAACACATAAAAAATAATAACAATGTTAATATTGATGAACAAAACACAAAAAAACCTGAGCAATTTTCTAACAATAATACTAAAACAAGCAAAAATGGCCGTTACATGAATCAATAAAATTCCGAGTGCCAATGCACACGTTTAGGACAACGAAACGAAAATATAGGTGACCAAAAATATTGCGGACTTACATATTATACAAAAAATACAAAAAATAAACAAAAAATAAACAAAAAAGCGAGACAACTCTTACATTGTACCAATAATAATTATAAATCCCAAAAAGTCTTATATACAATTTACAACATTCAATATAGCACTCTTTATATACGAATATAATACAGTAGGCATTACCAACCAATAAAATTACTTCAAATATAATAACCAATATAAAACGAATTGCACATTGTGTATGAATACCATTATAACAAACAATGTACTTTTACTGTGTCATAGCAAAAGTGTCACAATGAACAACAATAACAAAGTTTCACATACTTTACATACATGTAACAATAATAAATTTCTACATAATGAACAAATAACATACTATGTTGTGATATTAAAAATCACACTATATACAACAATAATAAACTTTAAAAATCTGAACAAAACAATAATAAACTTTCACATTACATTGTATGTACAGATAACAACATACCATATTGTGATATAAAAAATATCACACTATATAGCAATAATAAACTTTGTCATTATATACAGATAACAACATATATTGTGGTTTAACAAATATCACACTATACAACAATAATAAACTTTTACATTATGTACAAATAACAACATACGATATTGTGCTATAAAAATATCATATTGTAAAAATAACACTGTTGTATGTAACATAGAAAATGAACTTGAAATATAGACATATTGGCATATACACGTTATATAATCCTGACTATTGACTTTGTGATGTATAAAAAAAACTTCCAAGGCCAAAATGCTTTCCTGTTGGGTATACAACCGTAGCCTAGTCCCGCATTCCTTACAACCTTTCTGGTCCAGGTATTTAGATAACATCGCGAGTTCAACCACTCGTCTACCCTGCGATCAGGTTAAAAGTTATTGGCGTATTCGTAATCACTAGTACTGGAGGGATCTTCATCGGACGTCGGTGTCGACTCATAAGTAAAATTGTCTGTAAGCATCAGTAGCCAGCGTCTCTTCAATGTGTGAACAATTGTCACTTTGTTTCGTCGCATAGTCGTGGTCTAGCAGTTGATATTGGACATCGTTGTTGTTAGTATTGTCAGTTGATGCGTTTAGTTTACATTTAAAACGGCCGATTTTACGTCGGGCTTGCATGTCGGCCATCACTGCCACGAAGTTGTTTACATCGTTACGACAGCTTTTATTCCCACACATTCCGCGATTTGAGATTTTCAACGCAACGGACACAACTCTGTACTCGAATTGTTATTCAAACGAAATCTATTCAAGGGAAGATAACAAGATTGTCGAATGGTTATCAGGGGCAGGTGATTCTAACACTAAAAAACGACAGTGGAGTTCTTTAGTGTTTTGCTCTGGCTGGAACGGGGATCCTTAAGGTCATAGAAGTGTATTGATAAACGGAATGAGGAAGTACATCCCTAGTTGGAAATCCAATGCAGTATCACAGTTTCCGCATATTCTAATGTTTAATATTAAACTGATGAATATTGTATGTTTATTATTGACAGGACAGTGTGTTCGATCAATGAGTCACATGTTTCCATTTTTCTGTACTTTAGGAAACCGGCTACCTATTGTGTATTTCACTACTGTGAAGTTTTTCAATGTATATAGTTTTATTATAAAATGACAATTTTTAATCGTTTATAGATAATTAATTTTACACAATTTCAGCATTTATTAAATTGTTATACACTTTTCAAAATTCACTCCTTTTTACATAAATTTCCATTTAAAATCCTTACAATTCTGACAACCTATATTTTTTTGTTACTTCAAAGCAATATAACAACAAAATTTGAAGAAATTCTACAGAGAAATGGTGACACAATCCCATTACCTTAAGTTGTATTTCAACCGATATTATTGCAACTTTGTAAAAATTCAACAGTTCCCTATAGAGTTGTGCGCTTGCGTTTTATTTTTAATTGCTACTTTTCATTAGGAGCTTTCCCTTTTTACTGATTTTCCGTTTTATAAATTTGTTCGGAGAACTGCCTCTTCCATTCATTCACGATATTTTGATTTTAATTATTTTGAAAGCAGGTGTGACCTTGTTTTCAAACCCCCAATCGTCGCAAAGTGCCGCCGGGGTTAGTCTCGATCAACCAGACTCTTGTTGACTGCGCAAGCCAAGCCGAATAGTGATCAAACGCCTGGTTAAACGAGACTACGCTGGGGTTTGATTTGTAAACACTTTGTCCTCTTCCGTTGCTTCTCAATGCGTGAAAGCCTTCTGGGAAATTGAGGCCGCATACTGTTTACAAAAAAATATGATGGTCAACCCTACGTTATTGATATTTATTACAGTTTACTAGTGAAATATCATAAATTCTCCATTTGATAAAAGCATATCTTTAATGCAGTGAAGATGAACAAAAACATTATAGCTTCACAAGTAAAAAGTTCGCTCTTAGTATTGTCCAATCTTAACGGTACATTATATTCTCTGCGTAGATTTTTGGTTTAAACTTTAGATAAAGTGACGGCAGAAAAAGTGGCCGTGTTGCCTACCTTTGCAGCAGACATTATTGTATTTACATAACTACACAATTTACATCATTTTCTTACCAGATAATACTAGCACTTGGCAGAATTGGAGTGAAAACCCATTCAAAATGGCGCTCTGTATTGTTATCAAACGTGACGTCATTACAACTTGGCGTCAATAACTTCGCTGCACATTCCCGCGCTTTTCTGATGACGCAATATTCGCGCCGCGGGACGTGAAAAAAATGTTACAGTTGGAAAATGTCTTTGTTTTTCCCGTTCAATGCGATATATCCATTTCCTTTGTATAAAATGAATATGTGATAACAACCAAAAAAACAGCGTTGTGCTAAAATATGTCTTCATAGCAGTCTCGATAAGTAATCATTATTATTCAAAAGGGTGTGGAGTTACGATTGACGATTTAACCTAGAAGACGGTTGCTATTTGCAAATAATCGCTACAAAATAAAGTCCTGAAATATCCCGGAATGAAAATTGACGAAACAGGTTTTTTTCAGGGGTTAGTTGGGTTCACTTTTGGCTTAATAGTCCACTACCGGTGAGACCGGAGGAGTATAGTTTTCCTCTCCGTCCGTCTGTGTACGTACGTGCGTAACACCAATGTTAGGTCAATGTCAAGGTCACCGTAACAATTTTTAGAAAATCCTTGTCATCGCTCTAGCGGCTTTATTCCTTGAGGGATTTTGACCAAACGTCATACAATTACAAAGGACCATACTATCTTGGACGATTTTGAGATTCCAGGTTGTCGGGTTTAAGGTCAAGGTCACCGTTACTATTTTTAGAAAATCCTTGTCAGCGCTCTAGCGGGTTAATTCCTGGAGAGATTTGGATCAAACTTCACACAATTACAACGGACCATAATATCTCGAACAAGTTTGAGTTTCAGGGTCGTTGGGTCATGGTCAAGGTCACCGTTACTATTGTCAGCGCTCCGGCGGCTTAGTTCCTTGAGGGATTTTAATCGAACTTCATACAATTAAAAAGAAAACAATTTCTCGGACAACTTCGAGTTTCAGGGTTGTCGGGTCAAGATCAGCGTTACTATTTTTAGAAAATCCTTGTCAGCGCTCTAGCGGCTTCATTCCTTGGGGGATTTTAATCTAACTTTACTCCATTACACAGAACCATAATATCTCGGACAATTTAGAATTTCAGGGTTGTTAGGTCAAGGTCAAGGTCACTGTTACTATTTTCAGAAAATCCTTGTCAGCGCTTTAGCGGCTTCATTCCTTGAGGGATTTTGACCAATTCACACAATTACAAATGACCATAATATCTCGGACATATTTGAAATAGCATGTACACATTATGGTATAGAAACATTAGGATACCTACAGACAAAATATAACTTCAAGGTTCAAAGTTCAAGGGGCCGTAACACTGTTCAAAGAGCAATAATGAACTGAATTAAACTGGATAAGTAACACGTTATTACAAATTTGTGATGATATTCACGTATCTTTATCACCCTTGCTATGAATTGATTTAATACCACAAAAGCAAAAAAAAATTAACAATCATTTTATTTTACAAACATTACAATTTCTTGTATTATTAGCTCACCTGAGCTTATGCCGTGGCGCAGCGTCCGTCGTCGTGCGTCGTCAACTTTTCTTTAAAACCTATCTCCTTAAACACCAAAGAGGATTTCAACCAAATTTAGTCTGAAGCATCAGTAGGGACAGGCAATCATTTCTTAAAATGAGGTTTGTTCGAACCCTGAGGCCAGTGGGCGAGGCCCTGGAGGGAAATTTGCTTTAAAACGCATCTCCTCCTAAACGCCAAAGAAGATTTCAACCAAATTTGTTCTGAAACTTCATTAGGGGAGGGCAATCATTTCCTAAATAAATTAGGCTGGTTCGACCTCTGGGGCTAGGAAGACCGGGCCCCAAAATGGAAAATTATCTAATAGTTTGCTCTAAGACGCTAATACCCCCTAATTGCCTGAGTGTATTGTACAAAATTTGGTCAAAAACATTATTTAGGAAGAACAAACATTTCTTAATTGAATGAGGTTGATTTGACCCCTGCGGTCCTAAGAAATGGTACAGCTTCATTATCATATATTCTATGGTGTAGTTTTCATACAATTGGTTTCTAGGTTTATAAAAGCTAATAGTTGAATGAAAATATAAGTATTGTCTAATTACACCCTGTAATATGAAATATTACTTATTTTTAAAATCTGTTAACTTGGCAACTAAATGGAGGCCCCTGATTAGTTGAAAGTAAGATATTGTGGTCCCAGTTGGGTTAGAACATAGATTTTGTCTGGGTTTGAGGAAATTTCATATAAAGATGTACTAATGCATTCAGAAGTAATGATTTACATAGAAAACCAGGTGAGCAATACAGGTCCAATGGACCTTTTGATATTTCATTAAAATCAATTACATGCTAATTGTATCCTTTTCATTTTCCGAGGCCGGTAGAGGACATGTATTTTAGCAATATTCAGTATGCTTGTTGATAGTGTTTTCTACATGTGTTCCCATATGAAACAAGTCTTTTTGTATTTTGAAGAATACCAGCTATTCAAAATTTGACTATTTCCAACAAAAACCAAGTATTTTTAGATAACTTCAAACACTATATCGAAATACACATATACCTTTTATGTATTTGTAGGTTAAGTAAATATGCCGAGAACATATGTAGACAATGCATCCAACCGAAGTATTGGAAGGGTCGGAATGCCAGTCGGGAGCATGCCTGTTTCAGGGAGGTCATCCGGGTCTTCCGCTAGTGGTGGCGGAGCAGGTTTCGGAGGATCCAGTTCCGGGGGATCAAGCTATGGAGGATCATCAAAAAATACCTACGTAGACAATGCGTACAACCGAAGCGTTGGAAGAGTGGGAATGGATCATGGAACAGCGGTGATGTCAAGACCCTCCTCCTCTTCAACATCGCAAAGCTCTTCTCCTAGGACATACGTGGATAATGCCCAAAACAGGAGAGAAGGTAGGGTGGGAATGGAGCATGGAACAGCGGTGATTTCAAGACCCTACTCCTCTTCAACATCGCAAAGTTATTCCTCAAAAACATACGTGGATAATGCCCAAAACAGGAGAGAAGGTAGAGTTGGAATGGAGCACGGAACAGCGGTGATTTCAAAGAGTTCTTCACAGTCACCTGGTGCTAGAGTATATGTTGATACCCCCTTTAACCGGCGCTTGGGGCGTGTTGGCATGCCGCTCGGATCTATGTCTGTGTCACGTTCATCAGGAAGGTCCGGATCTAAGATGGGACCACCAATCAACCGGAAAGAAAGCAGCATGACACGTTGGGTTAGAGACTTGACAGATAGATATTATGAGCGACCAGTAAGTATTTCGCAGTATCCGTTTTTGATACAGATAATATGCTTAATGCTACAGGTATATATGACATGCGTCCAATTAGGGGATAATCCTACTGTATTTTGAAATTTGCGATGGTACATCGTAATTATACTGTCGCATATTGAGTGTTACTGGCGACGCGGAGCAGAGCCAGTAAAACAGTATAATCACAATATGCTACCGAAAATATCAAAATACAGAAGGGTTATCCCCATTCTAATTCACTTTAAACTGCAACCACCGAAAGGAATGACTATTTAAAAATATTTTTGAGTTATTTCTTCAAATTCTGGGTATCTCTGCTCTGAATTGGTGACGTCAGAAATATTCAAAGTGAGGCGGAATAACGTTGACCTTTTGGGTCCTTGGTGTCATGGATATTCAATTTCATGACGTTTCAGGGCCAGTCAAAGTCATCGACGTCATTAGCAATTGCCATCCGGGCTTTAATGCAAATGAGAAATTTAGGGACGGTATATCATGGTTGAACTCTCGTACATTGTTTTGATTGACCATTCAAATGCCGTGTTACATCTCAAATAAATTAGAAAATCGTTTAGAGATTGACACAACAAACCCGGAAATTACTGAAGGTTAATTCAATGATTTAAAAAAACTAGATATAACACTTACACAAATCACAGGAATTAAGTAGATAGCAGCAATAAACACAAGGGAAAACCAAAGTGTCAACAAAACTATTATTAGAACTTCTAATCGATAAAACTGGGGCAAATATGAACAAAGGAGAGATTTACATGGATATCGTCTATATCTTAGTTTCGAGACAATCTCCTTTAAACGTCTGCATAAATACTTCGAGAAAATCCACTTAAATATTTGATACTAATGTTTTTAGATAATTATCTTAAATGCTTCACATTGACGTTGGTTTGAATTATTTACTTTAATATTTAGTGAATTTGTAAATGTAAAGGAAAAGTATATAATGCTTGCTGTACCCTTAGGTTCTGTATTTCAATCGTCTTTCAGGAAGAAGATATGGACCTAGGACATATACAAGAAGACTATTTGTACGCCGAGGAAGTTAGTGAGCAGGCAGCGGACCTCATCAACCGTATGGAACAGGTCCGGTTATGCCAACAAGAATCACAAAAGAGCAAAGAACCTTTGACGTCATTTGATCTTCTGAAAAGTTATCGTGGTGAAAAAATCGAATTTGATGAGCTGGATATGAGAAAAAAGATTGGCCATGGAGGATTCGGAGATATCTATTGCGCTAAATGGAAGGGTACTGTAGTGGCTGTTAAGAAACTGCGGGTCCAGAGAGTATCGAAAAAACGATTACAAGAGTTTACTTCGGAAGTGCAAGTCTTCTGTGCACTCGACCATCCTAATATCGTCAAGTTCATTGGCGCCTGTTGTGTGACCCCGAACATCGCTATCGTTATGGAGTTCATGGAAAGCTGTCTGTTCCAAATACTTCACATGTCTGCAGATTCGGATGCCACCCTTACAGAAGACAACAAGCTGAGCATCATTATTCAGATATCCCGTGGACTAGCATACTTGCACGAGAAAAACATCGCTCATTGTGACATCAAGTCCCAGAACGTCTTGATGGATTCCAGGGAGGGTGGTTACGTGGCGAAGATTACTGACTTCGGGCTTAGCATGATGAGAAATAGTTCCGATACGTCGTCAACAGCGCATGATCAGGTAAGAGTTGCACATTGGGGTTGACGAATATGTGTTAATAGTAGATACATTCGAAAATTGACTTTTTCCCAAAAAGCCTGCTCTCAACGAAAAACAAAACATTTCAATTATTAAAAGATATTTAATTCAAACTTTTGACTATTTACAAGAGCAGATCAGTTATGGAATGTATAGTTATATATATCCTACATTTCATTTAATATATAAAGCTTACATTTTCCCTTAAGTATCTGCTATTGTGAAAATTCAAACGTTTCTACTTTGTTTGACCCATACAGTGTACCTTATTTTAAAGTGGGGAATATGATACAGAGATGATAGGATGTGCATGCTACACAGGACATTGCACAAAGAGTACCAAACAGGGGAGGTAATTCGATATGTCTTGTCACTTTCATGATACCGTTACTGGAATTTATATATAATAGAGAGATCGAGTTACCTGAATTGATACCATTTATATAGAGAAAAAGGCCGAGCTGTCTTCCAATGTACATTCTCCCTGTAACCTTGTAAATATCCCCATGTGTGCAGTTTATCTGGTTCAATTACAAGCATTTATTACGAGCATTAGACATTATGTAAGGATATGACGATGGTATTTAGCTCACCTGGTCCGAAGGACCATAGTGAGCTTATGCCGTGGCGCAGCGTCCGTCGTCCGTCGTCCGTCATCAACTTTTTACTTAAAACCTATCTCCTCCTAAACGCCAGGGAGGATTTCAACCAAATTTAGTCTGAAGCATCACTAGGGGAGGACATTAATCTCGTAAATAAATGAGGTTGGTTCGACCTCTGGGACCAGGGGGCGGGGCCCTGAAGGGGATCTTAGCTTAATTTGCTTTAAAACGCATCTCCTACGCCATTGAGGATTTCAACCAAATTTAGTCTGAGGCATCACTAGGGGAGGGTAATCATTTCTTATATAAGTGAGGTTGGTTCGACCCCTGAGGCCAGGGCCCTGAAGAGGAACTTAGCTCAATTTGCTTTAAAACGCATCTCCTCCTTAACGTCAGAGAGGATATCAATCAAATTTAGTCTGAAGCAGCACTAGGGAAGTGCAATCATTTCCTAAATAAATGAGGTTGGTTCGACCCCTGAGGACAGGGGGGCGGGGCCCTGAAGGGGAAATTTGCTAAATTTGCTTTAAAACGCATCTCCTGCATAACGCCAGAGAGGATTTCAACCAAATTCAGTCTGAAGCATCAGTAGGGAAGGGCAATCATTTCTTAAATAAATGAGGTTGGTTCGACCCCTGAGGCCATGGGGGCGGGGCCTTGAAGGGGAACTTAGCTAAATTTGCTTTTAAAACGCATCTCCTCCTAAACTCCTTAGAAGATTTTAACCAAACTTGCTCCGGAACTTCATTCATAATAAAATAAGACTAGTTCGACACCTGGTGCTAGAAAGACCGGACCCTAAACAGGAAAATTATCGAATATATTGGTTTAAGACGCTAATACCCCCTAGTGCCTGAGTGGATTGTACCAAATTTGGTCAAAAACATTATTGAGGAAGAACAAACAATTTTTAATTGCATGAGGTTGATTTGACCCCTGCGGTCCTAAGAAATGGTACAGCTAGATTATCATATTCTATGGTGTAGTTTTCATAAATTGTTAAAAATTGGATTCTAGGTTTATAAAAGTTTTTAGATGAATAAAAAATTAAAGTATTGTCTAATTACACCCTGTAATATGAAATATTACTTATTTCTAAATCTGTTAACATGGCAACTAAATGGAGGCCCCTGATTAGTTGAAAGTAAGATATTGTGATCCCAGTTGGGTTAGAACAAAGATCTTGTCTGGTTTTGAGGATATTTCATATAAAGATGTACTAATGCATTCAGTTGTATGACTTAAATATAAAACCAGGTGAGCGATACAGGTCCAATGGACCTCTTGTTTTTTCATTTAAACTGTTATGACTCGTGTAACGACACGTGTTGGGATTTGATTGACATAGGGTATGTTATCATCTATGAAGTGGGACATTTCGCATTTACTTAAATTAGTGTGAGGAAACACAATACTTGGTTTCTCCAATTAAACAATGATAAGGCCCGAGTGAAACATGATTAATAAGGGGAAACAAATAATCGTGTTTCCTTGTTCAAAGACAATACATAGAATAATAACATGATACATGTAGCAAAGATGATCAAGTTGATGAGCCATTTTTGCTGTCTGCTTTAGTCACTCGGGCTTCAGCTGTGGCGGTTCTTGTCTAATGTTACAAAGAGGCCCGCTCTGATTAAGGGAAATATGACCGGGGACGTAAGGTTGACATCATGTTTTATTTCCCCATCATGTGCTTAATATAATCCAATCAGACACGCTATTATAGAGATAAGGTATACCTATATGCAATAGCATGTGTCATTGCTGAACGTTTCCTGTGTTTTTAATTGTTGACTTAAGTTGATTCTTTGTTATTCAACAGGTGCGGAACATCGGAACTCCTCGTTATTCTGCCCCTGAAGTACTGCGCGGGGAACTGTTAGACCGCAAGGCTATGATGAGAGCCGATGTTTACTCTCTTGGTCTTTTGGTGTTTGAGATCATCTCCGAAGATGAACCATTTGATTCCCTAAATGCCAAACAAATAGAACGTTATGTAGGAAATGGAGAGAAAATACCTGTGTTTGGATCTGACATAGATGAAAATGTAGAGGAAAACGTCAAAACATGTTGGAGCCGGGATCCGTCCCGGCGACCTTCTGCACCAAGTTTTCGTGATTCTGTTGAAAGGTGGGAGTCTCTCTTCATGTGACACTAAGATGACATTTACTCACAATTAAAAGAATAATGTGAGAGGCGAACGCCGTCAGGAGTTTACTATCACCTTTCCTTAATGCTTTATGCTAACCAAGTGTGTTTTTGTTGTGGCTGAAGCATATTCTGGTGTCAATTGTTATGCGATGCTATATACACGACGGTGGTTCAATAACTATTGTCATTTAGACCGGGCTGCTATGATAAGAAAAGATGTTTACTCTCTTGGTCTTGCGGTGTTCGCGATCATCTAGGAAGATGAACCATTTGATTCCCTAAATGTTAATCTCGTCAGAGCACTTCTAGAGGCAAATCGTTTCCATGAAAGCTTTTTGTTTTAAGTTAAAGAATCACAAAAAGACACAGGGACTTGGAGCTGGAACACTGGGTGAATCTTCAAAAATGTCTATACAATATTGCTTTTTTGAGATGAACTATTGTCGTGAACTAGTTTGACGCAATTTAACTCTTACCCTTGTTAGGCTTCAGTACTTTGTCTCTATAAAACTCGGCAGTGATAGTTCCCCGGACTTCCAAGGTATCGGAACCACAGACCCACTAGAATTGAAAACCAAACGGAATATAAAACTTACTTTGCGCTTGTAATATGTCATGCAATCACTGGAATTTTCTTGATTTCTCGAAAACCATTGCTTGTTATTAATGTGCCTTTGGGATTCAAAGTAATAGACCAAGGTCGTTTCCCCTATAATAATCTCAGCTAGCTTTCTTGAGTCGCAATCTCCGAAATTTGTCAATATTTTTTGTTTAGTGTAACTTAGTATCGGAAACTGTATATATGTTTTGATAACAGCACATTTTAAACGTTTGGCCTTTTATTCAGATGTCAGCAAATCAGGGATCCATCAGGCACAAAGCTTCCCTCAATTCCAGCACTTGGTCAGAATACAATGTGCACTGCCTTCTGAAAGTCTGACAATATGTCTTGAGCTATTTCAGAAACAGTAAAATCATCCTTAAGTATTGCTTTCACAGGCAGCAATGTTCTTCTTTGATGCTGCAACAACTGACCTATCTGGCCGTGTCCTTTTAAATGTCAACTTTACCATTCTTGATTTTTTTCATTCACCTAAAAACAGTTCTCAAAGTTAGGGTAGAGGTATTTATTTTTGCATGTATTTGTGTTGGCGGTATCTTTGAAGCATCGTGTGCTTTGATATTGGAGTGAACTTCAGATTAAGTCTCAACCTTCATTTAAGCATTGAAACGTAGCCACTTGTTTATACCGTTCAGCAATGAATAACTTGATCAGTTCTTGTCTGATCATGTGGAAATATCTCACTGTTCTGTGCAGTCTGCCAATGCGCTAAACTCTTTTAATTGCCATAATATTGGATCCGTCTGTTTAAAATTCGGTCAAATATTTCTTTTTCTCAAAGGTTTTACAACCTCGTAAATATTCTGAGTTGTGTAAGAGAGCGTGTATCCCATGAGTTGGTGAAAACCAATTATCATTCACCGCAAAAGTATTCAGTTGTAATATCAGTGTGGTTTGCTATTCTTTGCGTTGTTTAAATGAAGGGGAAGAAACTCCTTCTATTCTTGCATTGTAACAGAACCCGATCCATTGGTTTCCCTCAGTGTCAAGGCCTCAATTACATCTGCATTGTATTATAATTGCGTATTTTAATATTAACTTTATGGTCCATTGTTGGTATTGTGTCCAAGATAATTTCACTCGCTCCAATATATATATTTGCACGTACTGACGTTTTAACATATTCCTTTTACGGTATAAGATCAATGTCGTTGTAAAGGGTACTATTTTTTACTCTCCGTAACACGATTATAAGACGCATATGAGTTAGTATCAACTTTATCTCTCTAATTCAGGATATAATTGACATCAGCAAGCGCGTATTAGTGCACCGCATAATCCTCTCTCAGTAAAATAGTTTAAATGTGTTGTTACGTCGTTTTATCAGTGCTTGTTAGTGTCACCTTTGCGTAACGACTTGGTAGTGTGTTAGGCTGAAAACGATAATCCGAAGGTTTTCACCGGATAGTTTCTCAGAATATTATAGTGCAGTTCTACTCAAGTAATATATGCACGTGTCACATGACGTTTTAGGCGATATCAAAGTTGATGGGTGTCACGCGCCTTCAGACATGTAAAGTAACGCGCGGTGGTCACCCATCCAGCTACTGACCACGCTGCTGAAATAGTGAGCGTGTCCCCGGGTTGTACCGCATCACTGGAAAAGCTAACTTATCAGTAAAGCAGTATTTTCCCCACTAGCATTCCTTGGCTGTAGTCTGTCTATTTGTATATGCTAATTTGGTAAGTTTTTGTATGTAAGGCCACAAAATAGATAGGTTCATATCAAAATTATGACTATCTTACTCATGGGTGGATTCGCTGAGTGTTTAACACTCCGGACTCTACGCAGGCGGCCAGGGTTCGATCCCTAAAGTCATCGTACGCATTGAAACTCCAACAACCCAGCTGGAATATAAAACTGTTCCAGGAGGGTGTTGTGTTATCTGTACTGTAGCAAAAATATGCCGTTGGAAGCAAGGTCCCTCTACAAACAGAAACCATTACATCTCTAGCACACACGCAGGAATACACACATATTGAGATATCAGCCAGGTGGCATGGGACTTGTAGTTATCGCCTTATAAGGCAGATCCAGCATTTTTTTCAAAACTGTATTGATTTATGTATTTTTTAATGTATTTTTAATTCTATTGATTGTATTAATTTCATATCTATGTATTGTGAAGGGCTTGAGCGTGGCTTATTCTAGCTAGATAGGATGGATGCTGTATCAAATGTTGTATAATTATGTTTTGTCCGCCGCTTTCACCGAAACGGGGGATATTAATTTGGGTTTGTCCGTCTGTGTGTCTGTCACGCTTCGTTTCATTGCAATAACTAAAAGAAATGTTCACCGAATTTCTTCAAACTTGGTCACGGGGTTAAATGCCTTAAGGGCTCGGCCAAGTTCGATGACCATTTTCAACCTACAATTTGTCCTTTGTCCTACCAGCGGGGGATATACATTCCACGAATTTGCTTGTTTTATTATATGTTTAGATAATTTGTATCTTATCAAGGATGTTTTTGCACTTACTAGCTATATCTACTTTCGCATTTTTGTGAACCAAAGCGATTTAAATATGACGTAACGACTTCAGCTTGAGTCACAGGTAGATAATGTAAATCTACAAAAACCTGTATCACAAATGGTAATATTAGCGGGGATACGTCTTATTTTAATCATCATAATCATTTGATTTTATGTGCACACTTATTTTGAAATCTTATATGCTTATAAATGGATGGATTATATATCACGTGTTAGTTCTTTTTTTGCCAAAAGTTTGTTTTCAAATACTAGAAATAAAAAGTATGGTAGCACCTATGAACTTTTCATTTTTTTATTTTTAGGTCACCTGAGACAAAGTCCCCTCCTTTACACTATTTCAAAAATTAACAAAACTTGGTACAATCTTTCTTCCACTGTTTGCATTTTTGACATTTTAGAGTCTTAAACTGATTTCAATCTATTTGTAATACATGCAGATGCTTATTTGTAAGTTTTGTTCAGAACAATAATATGTCTCCAGTTCTTAAAATATCGTCTGGGTTTATTACCTTTTGGACGACATATTCTGACACCTTTTTTTTTTTTTTTTTTGTAATAAATAGCTGCCCGTTTTTGTATCCTACATTTAGAGATATATAATAAAATGATCTTAGACTTGCCAGAAAAATTTAAACGAAAAAATTCCTTTGTCGATGCAGAAAATCGGACAAAGTAGATATTATACTCAAGTAGCAATTTTATTTACTTAGGTACAGTAGTATTAATGGTCAAAGGAATAGAAACAAAACTAAAAAGTGTTCCGATATATATTATTATCGCGAATGTAGAAAAGTTATAATAAAACCCATATATTATAATATTTACATTTGCTCTGCATCGCCACAATATAATACTACCAAGGCAAGCTTCGTGTTATGAGACCATAACACAGGCGTAGCGATATCCATTATGGTTCAATAATATTCACCGTTTTATGTTAACTATCATAAAATTTGAATTGAATATATTGCTTGATTAAATTATTGAAATTGTATCGATATTTTAATGTTTATTTCAACGAAAATATTAAGCTGGAAGATTGAGACACAACCCTGACGATCGAGACACAACGCTGACGTTATTAAGCTGGAAGATTGAGACACAGCGCTTTAGTTACAAGTGTGTGTTTGAGTCTGTTGATATGAGAATGTGTTTGAGTGAATGCGTCTCCTGAGTATATCCTTCACCTTGTAAATGTAAAGATGTTAAACTCTGAACTTAGGAAAGAAAATACTGCAGAGGTGCCCAGGGTACTTTCTTTTCGAGGCGGCACGGGTGTGAAGATATTCACCCAATAAATTCCAACCAGTTGAACTTTCAAGGAGTTCAGGAGATTGATCCACTCCTAGGATAGCCCAATCTACCTTTACAAGACTAGTGTTTCATATGCACGCCCTGATTATGCTTTATTCTATACTTCTGTTTCTATTGATCTATTTTATGCTATTGCAGCATTTATCTATACTATTATTTCACAGTACGATTTGGTTCTATAGGGTTAAATGTCGGTTTTATAGGTTTAATGTCCTATCAACATCTAAGGAGATTTAAGGATGTGCCTCCACGTGTGTTATGTATGCATGCATGCATGTGTGTATGTGTGCAGAAGGGACCCAACACAATAGTACACTGACAACGGGTGAACCAGTTATTGCCATTCCCCAATATGCAAAACGTTAAGCAGGGAATAATAACTACAATGGTAAGGACTTTGGTATGTCCCGGCCTGGGGACAGAACCCATTGCCTTCCTCACGTTCAACATAAAAGCAAAAAGTGTGGTATTGCCAAGGAAGGCGCTAGCAAATAAAATGTAGCCAGAAGTAGAAATAAGTTACAATACAAATTTGAAGTACACTATTGATATCAGTATCATCTTGTTTATCAGTTTGATACCTAATATTTTGACAGAACTGACTGAGACAATAAATTTCATTACCATTTTTAAATTCATAATATTTTAGCGTATATTTTGTCATTTCTGTTGCTTTATTTGCATTATGTACATTGTCCACTTTACAGTGTTTTAACCATTAGTCGTAAGATATGCAAGTGTTCATTTTAATTCAATTGAGTGACCTATCATCATGCTTTTATTTGAATCATAACTCTATATCAATACTGTCCTTATTATTATTATTTAATATTCATTAAGTGTCATGTCTTGGGGGCCTCCGTAGATAGGGGATTCCCGATCACTTAGAATCCTGAGATATGCTTTGTTTTTCTTTCGTTGTGATAGAATTTAAAGCTATTTATGTATAAGCTGTCTGTGGTTATCCTGTTTCGTGTGTTATTATGTTATTATTATTGTTTTCCCTATATATGTTTGTAGCAATATAAGCTTTACTGCTTATGTTTCTTGTTTATACATGTTTGAATGCGACTCTAAATAAAGTTTCTTGTATCTAGTATTTTGTCAGTCTATTGGCATGCGAATGGATAGTTTAGACTTTTGACATTTTTGACATTTTTTAAAATTATTATTCAAAATACAAAGCTTTATGTATTGCTTAAATTATCTTTCTAATTATAAGTTAAGTGTCAATGTGAAATAGTTCGTATATAATTCTTAAAAAACAAGATTTATTATTTCCATACTTTGGTAAAGTTGGACATAGAGCAAAGTTTTATTGATTTCATTTTAAATTATTTCATTAAAGCACACAAATTACATTACATATATAGAAATATTATTACCATAATATGGATGTCTCAAAAACCACAACTATGGCTTACATGTAATGTAGTTTCGACAGACGTACAATGGTGGCAGATTTTAAGATTACGGTCGACTTCTAGCTTCAAGCTAGAGGGAATTTCTATAATAATTTTATAACTATTTGTTAATTCACTATCCATTAAAATAATAAGTCAACGCCTAAGCACACATGCATATATAATATATGCTGCTAAATGACGTGAAAGTAAGTTTGATAACTGTATTGGCCAAACTGCTAAAACACAGTCAATATTGATGTTTGTGAACCAAAGAATTCACTTGGCAGTTTCAGTGGGGGCGTACCCTCCTCTGGCGGCGTTCCGAGGAGGGGGTGCGCCCAAAAGCGCCCTTCTTAATCCGCGGCTGATAATGCAATTTATTTCACGAAACGATATCGAAAGTAAAAGTACACATATAAACGTATTACGGTATAGGATTCTCATGAACTGTGACACATCGGGTGGTTGGGAAATACCCAGCGCAGAAAGCAGGCACAGTGAAATAGATTCGTTCCCACTATAAAGCATAGTTAGATTACAGACGTATCATTATACTTGAAATAATTGTTATCTTTAAATCTTCAAATAATTGAAATCATTAACACACAGTTGATCTGATGCTAACTTTCTAGTGTCATCTCACTGATATACCATTCCGAAGGCACCCACCACAGCATTATGCCCGGTCACAACTGACAACTGACAACGGGTGAACAAGTTGTTGCCATTACCCTAAATGCTGAACGGTTAGCAGAGAATAACAACTACAATTTTAAGGACTTTGCTATGTCCTGGCCTGGAGACAGAACCCATTGACTTCATCACCTTGGCAGATGCTCAACTTTAAAGCCACAAGTGAGGTGTTGCCAAAGAAGGCGCTAGCAAATAAAAGGTAGCCAGAAGTACACCATTGATATCAGTATCATCTTGTATATCCGTTGGATACCTCATATTTTGACAGAACTGACTGAGACAATACATTTTATTACCATCTTTAATTCATAATATTTTAGCGTATATTTTGTCATTTCTATTGCTATATTTGTATTATGTACATTGTCCACTTTACAGTGATATAACCATTAGTCGTAAAGTATACGTGTGTGATATGCAGGTGTTCATTTTAATTCAATTGAGTGACTTATCATCATGTTTTTATTTGAATTATAGTTCCATATCAATACTGTCGTTATTATTATTTGATATACCTTAAGTGTCATGTCTTGGAAACCTCCGTAGATAGGGGATTCCCGATCACTTAGAATCCTGAGATATGCTTTGTTTTTCTTTCGTTGTGATAGAATTTAAAGCTATTTATGTATACGCTATATGTCGTTATCCTGTTTCGTGTGTTATTATGTTATTATTATTGTTTTCCCTATATATGTTTGTAGCAATACAAGCTTTACTGCTTATGTTTCTTGTTTATACATGTTTGTATGCGACTCTAAATAAAGTTTCTTGTATCTAGTATTTTGTCAGTCTATTGACATGCGAATGGATAGTTTAGACTTTTGACATTTTTGACATTTTTTGAAATTATTATTCAAAATACAAAGCTTTATGTATTGCTTAAATCATCTTTTTAATTATAAGTTAAGTGTCAAGGTGAAATAGTTCGTATATAATTCTTAAAAAACAAGATTTATTATTTCCATACTTTGGTAAAGTTGGACATAGAGCAAAGTTTTATTGATTTCATTTTAAATTATTTCATTAAAACACACAAATTACATTACATATATAGAAATATTATTACCATAATATGGATGTCTCAAAAACCACAACTATGGCTTACATGTAATGTAGTTTCGACAGACGTACAAGTGTGGCAGATTTTAAGATTACGGTCGACTTCTAGCTTCAAGCTAGAGGGAATTTCTATAATAATTTTATAACTATTTGTTAATTCACTATCCATTAAAATAATAAGTCAACGCCTAAGCACACATGCATAATTAATATATGCTGCTAAATGACGTGAAAGTAAGTTTGATGACTGTATTGGCCAAACTGCTAAAACACAGTCAATATTGATGTTTGTGAACCAAAGAATTCACTTGGCAGTTTTAGTGGGGGCGTACCCTCCTCTGGCGGCGTACCGAGGAGGGGGTGCGCCCAAAAGCGCCCTTCTTAATCCGCGGCTGATAATGCAATTTATTTCACGAAACGATATCGAAAGTAAAAGTACACATATCAACGTATTACGGTATAGGATTCTCATGAACTGTGACACATCGGGTGGTTGGGAAATACCCAGCGCAGAGAGCAGGCACAGTGAAATAGATTCGTTCCCACTTTAAAGCATTGTTAGATTACAAACGTATCATTATACTTGGAATAATTGTTATCTTTAAATCTTCAAATAATTGAAATCATTAACATACAGTTAAATGTTCACCTGACAGGTGAATACAAAGATAACACAGGTGTAAGTGTGTACGGTACAGTCAATAGATGCACTTACTGTCTTCTGTTGTGTACG